AATGGCCGCTCCTCCCTGCCCCAGAACAATGGGTTAAGGGATCTAGAAACGGATCCAAATATATTAGGGAATATGATAAATTGGCATTTCAAATCAGTGGGGAAAATATGGCTTATTTAATAAATGATGCCAAGATAAGTTAGGCATCTGGAGACAGACTTCAGCCTACTCACCAAAATAAATTCCAGCTGGAACAAAAATTTAAATATAAAAATGATACTATGAGTAAATTGTTTTTTAAATATTGCAATTTACAAAAAGCCATTCAAAGCACAACATAAGATCCAGAAGCACAGAAAGAAAGAGTAATAAAAGTGACTACATAAATATTAAAAATATCTACATGGCCAAAAAAAAGCTATGAACAAAATAAAACTAAATGACAAACTGTGTAGAAATGTTTGCAACGTATCTGACATAGGGCTAATTTCCTTAATATATAAAGAGTTCAAACAGATCAATAAAAATGATCAACAACCTAACAGCAAATGGCAAAAGACATGAAAGTCCATATTCGGGGGGGAAAAAAAAAAGAAATAGAAAAAAGGCTTATAAATATATGAAAAAATAACTCATAATTAAAGAAATGTAAACTTAAAACAATGATCCATCATGTCTTACCTACACCTTGAGGGGCAATATGCTATAATGGTTAAAATTGCTGGACCTAGAGTCAGATTACTTGGGATTAAATACTGACTCTACTGTGTAGGCCCCCAGTTTCCTTGGCTGGGGCTGTTGTAAGAACAAAGTGAGAATACATAATAAAAAACAATGAGAACTAGTATATAATAACTACTCAATTAACATTAGTTCTTACTATCAGACTGACAAAAATAGAAAAAATGCTGATAATAAACAATGATGTTAAGAGAGTGGAGAACTAAGCACTCTCATACAGGGTTGGTAGGAGTACAAACTGGTGAAGTATCTTTGAATGGTAATTTGACAATATCCACTAACATTTTAAATGCACAACTTTGCAGTTCACTTGCAGAATCTTATCCTACAGAGATATTTACAAAACGATACATAAAGATATATATAGATATATATATCATAAACATATATATAGATACAGATTTTCACTGCAGCAATATCTGTTAACAGCAAAAGACTGGAAATAACCTAAATGGGCATCCATATAGGACTAGATAAATAAATTATGGTGTTTCCTAAAATAGAATACTGTCATGAAAAAAGAATCCCCAAGATACTGAAAAATGCTTTACAAAACAATGTGGAGAACTTCCTAACCATTCATGTTAAAAATTATACACGTATATAACAAAGTTTATAAAGACAATGTTCTACATTCTATCTTGGTGAGTACCGTCTGGGGTCTTGAAGGTCTGTGAGCAGCCATCTAAGATATTCCACTGATCTCATCCCTTTGGGAGCAAGGGAGAATGAAGAGAACAGGATACAAAGAAAAGATCAGTTCAAAGGACTAATGGACCACAGCTTCCACGGCCTCCACCAGACTGAGTCCAGTACAGCTAGATGGTGCCCGGCTACCACCACTAACTGCTCTGACCGGGATAACAATAGAGGGTCCTGGACGGAGCTGGAAAAGGATGTAGAACAAAATCCTAACTCACACAAAAAAGACTAGATTTACTGGCCTGACAGACTGGAGAAACTCTGAGAGTATGGCCCCCGGACACCTTTTTAGCTCAGTGATGAAGTCACTACCGAAGTTCACCATTCAGCCAGGGATTGGACAGCCTCATAAAACAAAATGGGACTAATGAGGCACAGCAGTCCAGGGACAAGGACTAGTAGGCAGGAGGGGACAAGAAAGCTGGTGATAGGGAACCCAAGGTTGAAAAAGGACAGTGTTGACATGTGGTGGCGTTGTTAACCATTGTCACAGGGCAATATGTGTACCAACTGTTTAGTGAGAATTTATTTGTTCTGCAAACCTTTATCTAAGGGTACAAAAAAAAAATTATGTGAGATCAAATTGACAAGAGCAACTCAAAAGGTTTGATGGGAAGCCTAGGGGACAGTAAGTTGAAGATAATGGTGATGGAATAATTTGGAAAAGGATAGTGAAAATAGCAGCACACCTGGAAGAATGTAATC